TATAATATAATTATTTAATTAAAAAAATTAATTAAGAGTAAGTAATAAACATTTATCTTCTTTCTCCGAAACAAAACCAGAGTTCTTGCCGGTAAAGGCCCAAGCACTCAAGAATGGGCAGCTCGGTTACAAGTTACAATCTCTAGGAACCCACAAAAAGGAAATACATTGAAAGGAAGGCATTAAACTAGTTACAGCTAAAAAAGGTGAAGTAACTCTCCAATCTGGGCATATATATATATATATTCTGAAACATGACGCTACAATCCTAATATTTATTGGACTTTAATTTATTTATTCCTTAATCATGGATGCTGATGTTCTGCAGGATCCTTCCTGGGCGCAGGTGGACTTCTGATACTCGAGTCTCCTCGACCTGCGTTGCATCCGATCAGCAGCCTCCTAAAAGAATAAAACAAGAACATTTCGTCATAAAGTAATATTATTGTTTTCAGTTAATATTTTGTCATAAAACAATAATATCTAAACCAAAACACCTTAATTAATATCTCTAAGTCTCTATAATATGTTTGTTTAGTTAATAGAGATTCATACGTACCGGCCAGAGTGATCACCGGAGGGTGGATTGAAGAGAAGAACAATGATTAGGATCCAAAATAACCATAAAAACCTTAAAAACTTCATCCCTCTTGCTACCGAGCTGCTAATTGTCTCAGCTTATAAGAGTTATATAGGAGCTGTATTTAGTTATACATGCTTAATCGGCTGATTATATGAAGGAGAATATTCAAAAGAAGTTGTGAAAATAATAAAGTACAAGAAGACTAATGGAGAAAGAAAAACATAGAGCTTCAAAGAGACTCGTTCAAGTCTTTATGAGTGGAAAATACGTATGGTATTATAGCTCATGCCGACCGTGCATAAATAAAAAAAAATGACACCTTATATTTTACACTGTATTAGATTTACGTTTTTACATTCTAAATTCATGCTATATGCTAACTTTTCTACATCAAAATTTTTTTTTTAGGGTAATATAAGCCCCGTTCACTTCACTTATTCGAGTTTTTCTACAGTAAAAAGCTCTCACAAACAATCATATCTAACTTTTTTGCTACAGTAAAAAGTTTTCACATAAAATCACATCTCACCTCGAATTCTAAACTCGAATCAGCGAAGTGAACGAGGCCATAGTGTTGGGCCTACGTTAAATAAAACCACCAAAATTTAAACTCTGATAGACACACGCACACATTCACGCACTCAATCACTTGAATGAGCATAGCCTCAAGTGGCTAAATTTTGTTTTTATTAAAAGATCAAAATATTTTTTATAATTTACATTTTATTTATTTTTTATTATTCTTCTATTTTTTTAATAATTTAAGGCTGTTTAGGTCTTTTGTGATTAAAATTGACCATTAACCAAAAAAAGATAAGAATTTAACATAAATTCAAAATTTGAAAGTATAAATATAAATGAAATACAAGGTTTAGTTTAGCTAACCTTAAATACATGTTATGAAAATATATCTCTAAGAATTTGCGAGAGAGTGTTTGTAATTAAGATTTTTTTTTTGATAAGCTGTAATTAAGAATTTAGACTTACATCGGAAATTACTTGGAAGAAGAGAAAACCCTTCTTAGTCAATGACCAATTCTACGCACTTTAAACTTTCAATGTTTGACGATTTCCATTGTTTGCAATGTGAATGAATAAGCGAATGTTTCAACTATCTAACAAGAGGCCCTACACGTAAGTGACTGTATATTGTCAACAACTAGAAATTCGTTTCCAGGAAATAGGAATGTATCAAAAAGAAAAAAGGCCTGAACTACAAATGTATCAAAATAACATACTGTTTAAAATCAAATGTGGCCAAATCTTTACATGAGAGGACATATTTTATCCCTATTTTTTGATTTTATATATACTCCATAATCCATATTGACTAAAAAAGAATTATTTATTCTAAAAAGCTAATATTGACCAACATCTATATATATATATATATATTATAACACGCAGGATTTGAACTCTCTTCGCGTTAATGTCTTTTAGACGTAAACGTAACAATGTTATTTAGACATCTTGATATCAATAAACGATTATTTATTTATTTTAATATTAAGTACTATTGTCCTTTTTATGTTCATATTAGTTAGATATATGTAAAGTAAATTGGAAGTCTAACATTGTTGTTCTAAATCTTTAGATTGTCACATAATGTGAAGAACATGCATAAGACATGAATAATCTAAAAATGATAGTCTAAATTATATGATTCGCAATAAAGGGAATAAAATTGAGCGCTTTATTTATGTTAAGATTGTTATGTTGGCTACTTACTAACATAAGTTAGAATGAAACTTCATGAGTAGAGCTATTGATATAACTCCATTTGTGAAATATATATTAAATTGAATCAAAATTAAATTAATTTCATTAATAATTCTGTTTGAATAAAACAATTCATCAAAACTCTTCCGAGCCTCACCATCTGCAGGATGCTTTAGGAAACCTTCTACATTACTATGTTTCTCTTTATACCACCTCATATATGCTGATATATGTCTACACATAAACAATCTTTGCAGTCTAGGCTTCACCGGAAAATAAAACAATTTCTTATGTGGAACTTCCTCTCCTTTCCATTCTTACGAGGTTCATATCTTGGCTCGTTGCATACAAGACACCTATTAAGAGACGTGTGCTATTTCTAAAATATGGCACAATTATACTTGCAAGCATCAATAGACTCATATTCTAACTCCAAGCCTTGCAATAGTATTGGGGATTACAAAAACTCCCCTTAAACTATACCTGTGTAATTATTTTTAGAATATATAGTAGTAACATATACAAATGGATTATGGGATATCTTTGGTTTGTTTGAAAAATCTGAAACTTATCAAGTAGTATCTCTAAAAAGAGAATTTTGAATCTACTTTCATTTCCCACTGGTCTCATAATATTTTGAGTTTCGATAAATTTATTGTAGTTTTTAAAGGTTTAATTAGCACATTTGAAGCTACTCACAAACAACTAGTTTGTGCTTGCAAAAAGGTGACTGATAGTAAAGTAAGTAGAATTCAAGTATTTTCAAAACTGCATCACAAGGGAAAGAGGTTAAAAACCCTACTTAGTATTTAAGAGAAGAGAAATGGCTAGAATTATAGGAGGTCCTGTAGAGAGATGCTTACCTTAGAACCGGAGGATATATCTAACTAAGAATATAGATGAGAATTTATGAAGGTTTTAGATATTTATTTTATTTGAAACCTACTTATTGAGTTTTTACTCATTAATTTTACCTTGTGATGCAGATGATGTTGTTGTTATCGAAAAGTAAATATGTTCCAAGGTATTGAGTACTTCAAGTCCTACATTTGGTAGCTTGTTTATATGTACTTCACTAGTAGAAATAGTATATTAGACGACGGTTTAAAAACTGTCATCTTATCTACAGTCATTAAATGTCAAGCACTTTAGACTAGGGTTGGCAATCCGGGTAGCGACACGACGGCACGACTCGAAACCAGTACGAAGTTAGTGGGTTTGGGTTAATCATAAATAGGTTTGGGTCAAAATCAGGTCGAACTCGTGAAACACGATTAAATAGCGTGTCATTTTCAGGTTGACCCGCCTACCCACAATTGACCCACCATAACCCATCTATTAAGCGTGTCATATTTGGGTAACATGAATACACAACACAATTACAACATGTTTGTTACTTATGTTTGAAAAACAGGTGGAGAAATAGGTTGATAAGACCTTATTATCACTCATTTTATAAACGACTTAATAAAGGGGTTAGTAGAAACAGGTTGACACGACACTATTATGACCTGTTTCATAAACGGGTTAGTCGTGTCATGTCGTGTCAACTCGTCAATATATAGGTTGTGTTTAGGCCTTATATTTCGACACGAATAATAAATGGGTCGTGTTCGTGTCAGGTCTTATCATGTCAACTGAGGGGGTCAACACAACACAAACACGACACAGCAACTCGGATTGCCAGTCCTATTTTAGATGAAAGTTTTTAACCGTCGTATAATATGCGCATGAAAGTCCAACGACAGCACTTTAGACGACAGTTTTTATGAAAACCTCGTCTCATGTGGCACTTTTAACAACTGTAAATACTGTTGACTAATGTGCCACTTTTAACAACGGTTTTTAAAAAAACAGTCGTCAAAAGTCTTAATTTTTTTTTTATTTTATAAAATCATATTAACGCAGCACTATTTCTTTAATTGTTTAAACAACATCTTCATCAAAATATTATTCACAACACACATTTCGTAAAGATAACGACACAAACTAAAAAGGTCAAAAAAACTTATTTCAAATGCTCCTTGTATATATTAAATTAAATATTCTCAAAAAAAACTTAACAAAGTTGCTCTACAAAATAACACTAACAAAAAAAATTATAATACAAAGTATAAATCTAAATAAAATAACTTGACTACAACAATAAAATATTTAAGGATTCTAAATTTATCCGATTCTGGCAATTACGATAGTACGATGAACATGATCGTTAGGGTTGGGCAGTGACGGTGGGCTGCGACGGCAACGAGGATGACTGTAGTTATGGTTTAGAGATTGAAAAGTTTGTAGAAGAGATGAAGTGGTTTTGGAGGAACAACTTCCAGGCTTGGGAGGGGAATAAATTAGAGAGAATTAGGAGGAGGAGGAGAGAGAGAAATAACTTAGAGAGAGAGAGGGGGAGTGGGAACTTAGAGAGAAGGAATTTGAGAGAAAATTTTACAATTTGTATAATAAGGGAGATGGAAGAGAGTGCTCGAATTATAAAGGATGAGAGAAAATTTGAAAACTTTTGAGAAAAGATTGAGCGGGAAAAAGTGCGCTATTTTTTTCAAAAATTTTTGTATTAGGCGATAGTTTTTACTACATTAGACACTGGTTTTTTAAAAAAAAACCGTGGTCTAATGTGCGTGTACAGATTTCTGAAACACCGAAATCTCCGTTCCACAGTTTTTAAGCACATTAGATAATATTTTTAGTAATTAGGCATCATCTAATCTACTATTTGTAGTAGTGCTTCTAAACAAGAGATGGGCTAAATTATTTTGTAACTATGTTGTTTTTTTGATAAAAACTATTTTTGACTATGATTTGTGGTTGTTATTAGTTTTCTCACCAACTTTTTTTATTCAAAACCATTATGAAAATGTTCATAATGAAATTAACTACAAGTTCCCGCATTTTACTAAGGCATTGATTACTTATAAGTATATAGAAAATATGTTTTAGTAGCACCACCCTGTTAAATTCAGTGTTGGACCGACTTAGTGTTGAGGGAGTTACAAATATGTAGTTTTTAATATATTTATTCAGTACGAATATAAAATAGACGAAAATGAAAGAAAAAAATCCTACAGGAAAAAGATCCTCTAAAGAAAACTCTATCCGGTGGAAGATGTAGGAAAAGTTTGAGATGAAGATGAAGAGAAGAACAATGATTTGGATCCAAAATAACCATAAAAACCTTAACAACTTCATCCCTCTACCGAGCTTGTATTAGCTTGTAAGAGTTATCAGCTGTATTTATACATGCTAAGATGGCTGAATTACTGTAAGGACAACAGTAAAAAATACAACAAGATTAATGAAAAAGAAAAAAGTAGAATAAACTCTAATTCTACATGAACTTTCATAGGAAACTACTTGGAAGATACTCTTCTAAAGTTTTCCCTTCTCTATTTACATAGGAAACTACTCGGAAGATGAGAGAACT